TACTAGAATGGTGCCTAAGACAGATTGTTGTTATATGAGGAGAGATTAAGATCTCTGAAATTGTTTTATCTTCAAAAAGAAGAGTTAGAAGGGATCTGATTGAGTTGGTTACACTTGCAAAAGGAAATGATAATGTTGATACATAATCTTTTTCATACTTAACAGTGAGAATAAGTAGAATTAAGGGACGTAAGTATAAATTTTGGCAAGGTAGGAGTCATCTTCAGGTAAGACAGTTTTATTTTTCTAACAGGAATGTTAGCCTCTGGAATGGGTTGCTTTTGGATGTTGTGGAGGCAGTACATTTAAGTGAGTTTATGAGAAAGCTTGATAACTATATGAATGATAAGAGTTGGCTTTAAGATTTTTTTCTAAGTTATTTATTTAATACTTTTAGTTTAGAGGATGGAATAGCCGAGATGGATCAATAGGTCCATTGTTGTCTCTAAACAACAAGTTCCATAGAATAGATTTACAGTTTCTTTGTTTCTTAATGTTGGCTCATTTTCATGCAACATGACTCACACATGATCATACTTCATGAACACTCTAGAATATGAAAATTACTGGTGTATATATATACATACACAGATGTATATATGGCTGGGTACTTATATTCTATATTTTCTCATATTGAACAAAGTGCTTGCTCAGCTCTGAAATTCATGATGGTCCAACTGAGAGGAATATGATAAGATAAAGCACCTGATTTAAACCATATGTAACCTTCCATCTTATACAAACTTCATTTTACAAACATAGATGTTTCACATCTTATCTCACTATGTTTATGAAAATAATTTAGCTGAGATAATTCCCAAAGCTTTTTAAGAGCCTGAAGTAGTTAATAATATATATACAAATAATACTCTCAGTAATGTACTTCTACCAGATATATGCATGTATGTAAAACTTTGACATGAATATGCAATACAACATTATACAATTCTGGCAATCAAGTGTTAAAATCAGACTTACAGGTGTTCATGTGACATTGTAGCACCTGTTTATCAGTTGCAGGGTAAATATAGGTTGGCAACTGGTAGGGAAATTTATAATAGTATTAAAATAGTATATATTACTCATGTTTTGAATCTGTACATACACAACTTTGGCTTCAGTTTGAAATAGTTTTACCAGTGCTTCTGACATTTTTCAATGTCTCATCATCTTTCAAAAAAAGCCAAAAACATGTTCTTGGATTAAACATAATATTCTGTAGTGTCACTGTAATGTTAAGAGTAACACTTAAAAGCACATATAAAAATGATACATTTGATGCTTCAGTTTTTGAATGTACTTTCCACATCCCCACATTATTTCTTGGATGTCATCCACAAACAAAAGAATAAGCATTCATGATAAAGACAAAGTCAAACAATGAAAGTTATATTTAGCAAATCCTAACATCACAATTAAATACTTCAAATTTCACAATAACAATTACCACTTATTTATGTTTTGTACTTAAAGAATCTACTAGTCAAAATGTTAACATTCTAAATACACAGCAGACTTTAGATAACTTGTTCAGTTTTGTATATTCTCCAGACCAGTTTACAGTACATCACTTTCCAAATAAGATTTCATTATTAGTAAAGTGATCTGTCTTTGTAAGAACATGTCACATACTCACATAAGCTTTCATTACTAGTAAACTGATCAATCTTTTTACAGTATTTCACAGATTGAAGTCTTCATTATTAGTAAATATATTAATCTTTTTTACAGTATCTCATAAAACCACATAAAGTCGCAAGTCTTCATTATTAGTAAACTGATCAATCTTTTTACAGTATCTCACAAACCCACATATGGTTGTATGTCTTTATTATTAGTACACATATCAATCTTCTTACAGTATCTCACAAAACCCACATATGGTCGCAAGTCTTCATTATTAGTACACATATCAATCTTCTTACAGTATCTCACACATTTATATAAACATGTCTTAGTTATTAGTACAGTGAACAATATTTTTTACAGTATGTCACATACTCACATATGTCTTCATTATCCTGAGCAACAAAAAACTTTTCTCTGCTACTAAAAAAAATTTAACTGCTTCCGACTAATTTGACAATACTGATTCTAAAAAAGTATGTTGAAATATACTCTAGTTTTTCACTTACAATAGATTTATTGAAAATATTCTTATTTGTTATAAAAATTGCATTTAAGACGGTATAATCTGCATGCTTTGATGTGTTTCTTTCATGTTCACAGCACGAACAATAGCAATTGATGGCTAAACGTTCTCATTGTACAAAAGTACAGCTTTCAGACTAACATTACATGAGCAAATATAAAAAAAGTCTCCATTCTTGATGATGATCATGTTCAATACCTAATTCTTCCATTAGTGCATCAACATTTGTACACAAACACAAAGTATCTTGCAAGCTGTAGTGAGAAGCAAGACTTTGATGGTGACTTCACTAAACTGAAACTCTTGTTCCTGAGCTAATAAATTCCATTGCTGTAAACGAGAGCCCAGAAGTTCCCCATGCTGCTTTGATAGAGACAAGTCAGTTAGCTTTTCTTGTGTGATCAGATGAGGCAGTTTATGCTGAGGTACCATAGGAATAGAATTACTAGATGAAGATGGTTCATTGTCTTCTTCACAGGATAACTCTTCTGTTTCCCAATTCGCTGGTGGATGTGGCACTGGAAGACCATCCCCATTGATTTCATTGCAGATATGATATTTGGATACTTAATGTAGTGTTTAGTTTGGCCTGAATATCTACAAACATTAGTCAGTCATTTAGATTATCTTTGGGCTCATGCTATATTATTGGAAAGCAAGCGGCATATTTGCTCTCTTCTTATACAGCTACTACATCAAGCCAGAAATAGAAACTGTATAACACATAAGTAGAGTCCAATGTTTTTCTTGGTCACCAATTTTACACCCAAAATAATGGTAATAAACTACTTTTACCTTGTATGTGATGTAGCAAAAACTGTTTGGGTGATTTTTGCATTTTAAATGATTTTCTAAAAAATACAAAAGAACTTATGTTTTGCAGAATTTTTTTATATCGCAGGTATAATGCCAGAAAAAAGACTGGTCTTTGTTTTGACTGTGCACAGAGCGAGGCAAAGTGACCAACTGAGTGAGTGAGAGGCAACTGAGAGAGAGAGAGAGACATCTGACTTTGCCTCTTTTATGCTCAGTCGAGGGACTTCTCAAATGTTCTAGAAAACTAACCACATGAGGGCTTCATGATTTCCAGGCAGAGCAGGTGAGCATGGGAATGAAACAAATGTGGTGCAATTCACTACAATTATATCGAGAACAAATGGCATATATGAACAATATATTTGGAATTTTACACCAATATAGTCAATGTTTGAAGTTATCCAAAAATGTATGCTTTTTACCCATTAAACTGTCCATGTAAACTTAATTTCACAGCATAAATCTATTGTACTGAGTTGATTGTATGTTATTTCACATAATGCTGATAAAATATAGAGATATTACAATAAATCAAAATCTAGAAGCGATGGGCAAATTCTGGCTACATTTCTTATACATACATAAATATACATTATAAAAAACATATAACTAAATGTATTATTTTCAATAATTAGAGCTTTGCATAAAGTCAGTGAATAATTCAAAGTGAAAATTATGAGATACTGTATAATACCCTTGTATAGTAAAATGGATGCTCAAGTATTACAGTACTTAGTATAACTTCTCTGACTAAGCATTCAATTTATATTAACTGTAAACAAACTTGTAATCTCAAGTGTGGAAAGATATGGCTAATGTTTATAACATTTAAAAGAAAATACTGTCAAATCTCAACTGGAATTTGTATAATAAACTATAAAACAATACACACCTTCTTAGTAGATACATTTTTAACCTGCTATTTACATTTTGCTCACAAATTCATTAGAGATACTAGTAATAGAATATTAACAAATTGATGATAACATAACAAAATTAAATAAACCAGCTGCACCTGACACAAAAAAAGTTTGGTTTCTGTATTGATAACTGCAAGTATTTAAGACAAACCTGATATGTAGCAGCATCCAGATTTGACAATGCAAGGAAGAGAAGATTGTTCTGTACTGTGTATAATGCAGCTGGTACAAGAAGTCTACAGGTGTCTGATGGCTTACTCCAAACTTCCAAATGAAGTAACTTAATTAACTGACCTACTGACCAACCTGATAATATGAAAGATATATTAATCATGCACATTTGGCCACAACCACAAAAGATGCAACATTTATGAAAATATTTAAACAGACAAACATGTATATAAGTTTATCTCATACATTTTCATTTTATCTATCAAATATTCTTATCAGCTAATGCACTAATTAACCATCATTTTGCTTTATACTTATATTATTTTGTACAGCTATACAACATAAATTTATTCTGAATTGAAATTTGGGCTAAAATAATATGCTATAATTCATACCCTACTGTCCACAGACTAAAAGAAGGTGTAGGAAAAAGGCAAATTTAAATTCTCTCCAGAATGTCGAGGATCATCCTCAAATGCAGCCTCAAAGCCCTCTGAGGAACACCATAGAACTGAATATATATCTCCATCTCACTACAAATAAGATCACTGACAGTCTCAACTGAGAGTGACTCCCCCCCCCCCCCTCAATTGTTGTGCAATGCTAGACATCAGAGGTAGGATAGGAGAAATCTGACTTTACTCTGTGCCAGAAATAATAATCTGGGAATTCATACCATAAATCAGCTTGCCAATCAGATTATTTTTTTTTACGAAAGTCAACAGACAACACAGAGAATGTGCAAAGTATCTCTGAACGATCATATTACTGGGAAACCCATTAGTGATGTTTTGTGGAGAAAAAGTAATAACATTTTGTGAATGAGGTGCTTTATATACAGTACCGGGATAGAGGGTGCATTGACGTAGGTGGAGAGTGACACAAGACATATATCACCAAAGGCACTTAAGTGGGGTATAAAAGACTGAAGCAAGTGAGAAAATATCAGACCAATGCTTAGATGAGTAAAGGAAGAAACCCTGGCAGTTGAGTAATAGCTGTAAGTGTGAGGCAAGTATGTTTTGGAAAAATGACTACCTGTAGAAGACAAAAACCATCAGGAGATAAAACAGCCAGAAGATGTAGAGAAGTAGAAGAATGTGTGGAGATAGTCCACATGCTCACTGGGAGGAGCTCATCTAAGGACCACAAAAAAAAAAGAGATGTAAGAAAATGAAAAACGGTGACATAACAAATGTGAAGAAAAGGGAAAGAGTCTGCAAGCATACACATCCCAAGACAAATATGTCAACAGAGGAATTGAGGGAACCATCCCATAAGGAAAGAATGAAATATGTCCATGATAAACAGCCCAACAGGACATAGGAGTTGAGCCAGGTGCAAATGGTCCAATAAGGGAGAGACAAAACGAAGTGAGGTAGGAGAGAAGTATAATGTGTCTCCTGAATGGTTGAAGTCTGAAGAAGAAAGGATCAGGCCAGGAAGAGAAAAATTAAGTACAGTGAAGAAGGGTACAAGAGGCATCTAAACCTCTTCTGATTTGTTTTCCACTACTTCTCTCCTATGATTTCCATTGTTCTGATGCTTTTCCAAAGCCAGGAAGCCAATGGCTCAAATGGAGCATGCACAAGATCATACAAAACCACATTAAGGTTTCAGTCAGGCAAGGAAGTTGGGCATTGAGGACTGAGAAGAACAAAGGAATGTAATAGAATGGAAAGGACAGGGAAAGAAACAGCTATTGGTGCCAGGAGAGGAGAAAGGCCATGGACAGGGCCATCTGACAACTAGAAAAGGTTGAGACCAAGAATCCATCACTGAATACTCAGATAAGAAAGGCAAAAAGATTGGTGCACAGAATTATTGCCAGGCAAAAAAAGGTAGTGAAAGGACCAATGACCCACCATAAAAATTTATAAACAAATACAGTGGAATGGTAACAAGAATGTTATGAGAATAATGACACATTAATGGAAAGTCCAACCCGACAGGCAAGAATGGGCAAATTCCATGTATGAAGATGGAGAGAAGATATCCCTCTATGAAAAAGGGAAGTGTGAGAGTGGGAAGCAAGAGAAAGAAGGTCCAAATATTAAGCAGACCAAGGCTAAGGTGGTCAAAGAGGCACCAACAATAAGGCCCAAGAAAGAGAGTAGTGTGTAAATCCAAGGAGATAAATAGTGGAATAGGTATAGAGAAAGAGATAATACAAGGCCAGACTGAGAAATTAACACTCAGAACATAAGGATGGGGAATAGAATATCATAAGATAGGAAGCCCAGAGCTGAGAATGGTGGTAAAATCATTTAATATTGATGTGTCCAACCAAGGGTAAACACCACAGAAGATCTAGTGTAGAGGCTATTGTGTTTATAGAAATATGTACTGGCAGAGAGAGACATACTGCCACCAAGATTAGCACAATGTATGTAAAGTCATATGATATTAGGTGGGAGTTGCCTCATAGCTAGTAGCATGCAAATATCTTTAGCATATGTGCTGAGGAAGATAGCAAACCTGTGTGTGAGGTGAGTTATCATCTCAGAATTATAGCTTTCTATGAAAAAAACTTGATTAGACTAAAACTCTCAGAAAGAAATTGTTCTGTAACTGGTATAATTAACATAATAACTATCTTTATGGGTAGAACATTACTAAACAGCTGCAATTAAGGTAAAATGTTCCAAAGCAGACTTTATTCATCTTAATTTCTTTATATTGGATTGGCAAAGAAACTTTGTATACCAAAGATAATGTTTAAATTTTTGCTTCCAGCTTATTCTCACACTGACTCCAGGTATATTTTAAAATCTAACTGTGGATTTCAATAGTTTTTCAGGTTCAAGGACAGAATAACCTACTGAAAATTTGAAATTTATTTATCATTTTTGACATCCGAATTGTTTACAAGGTTGGATTGGATCAGTATTTAAATTGCTAGATGGTTACAAACTTTCATAATTGCACATTCAAACTGTTAATCAGGTATTTCTGAAGTGTAAATGAGTGTTAAGTAGTTGGTCATTGTAATCATATTAACTAAGACTATGGAAGAATGCAATTTCCATATAGGTGTAAATGTTTACTAATCAATAGGCTGAGGCTACAGCTTAACCAAAACATCTCAGAGGTGAAAATATTGCTTAAATGATAGTCATCACTTCTCACAATATAAATTTTCTTGACCTCATTTGATAACAGAAGAACAGTATAGAAGTTAAAAACCATTAACCATTATTATAAGTATTAACATTTAGCAGATTCTCACAGTAAAATTTACTTAATTTTAAAAATATATTACAAGTATATATGTACCAAACTTATAAATCAATGAGCACTACTAATAAACTCTAAGCATTAAAATAAAATATAAAAACAAAAGATAATTGCAAGCTTTATTAAAATACAATACAAAATTACCACTCTGTGAAAGGAGCACTGTCAAACAAGTAAGCATCTTGAAAACTTCAGACACAACAATTGCAGTAGAACTTAGGTATTGCTGATCACTTGGCGTAGCAATTCTGGAATATCGCAACAATAAAACAAGACTAGTTGTCTGAAGTACCAGAGTAGCAAGAGACATGTATTTTAGCACTGAATTCATCTGAAATATAATTTGAAATGGAAACATTTTATGTTCTGATTCTTAGACCATTTAGAATCATATACAATTCTGAATTTAATATTAGTTTAATAAATACACATACATTCAATTTCTTCCATAACTAACTGTTCACTTAATGTAACTTATTGTTATAATACTGATATGGAAAGTGTGTGATAGATACATATAGATCACAAGTATTTGTACAAAAAAATGTTTTTAATAATTACAAGTTCAGTTCGAAGAAATTATTTAAAAAACAAAAAATGACTCACTCAAAAAAAGTAAAATGATCAAAGCACATACATATGGAATATCAAAACTTTAAATGGGCTAAGATTTTCATTGAATCTGTAGAGAAAAACTAATTTTCATGCAAGAAAAATTTTCTTTAATGTTAACATCAACAATAAGAAATTAAAGAGTAAACTAAAAATATCATATTCGTAACAGAATTAAATTTCACAAGATGCATGTTAAGAACTTGCAAGTTTGACTCAGGAAAATTTGGACATGTTAAATCTTTATTGTGACATATATTCTATTCATATAAACAACCTTGTATTATTCAAAGAGTGAGAGAGAGAAAGAAAATGAATGCTAGTTTGTGAAACAAATAATTTAGATATTACTAAGATTCTCAATGTGCTTATAGTGAAATTTTGCTTTCGTACAATAAGCAATTTTAAAGATATAATAAATAAGGGGCTGTCAAATGAGGACAGGTTAAGTCCTCAAAATTATTTTTCATAAGAAAAGAATGGTTAGACAAGATCTCATTGAAGAATTCAAAACTATAAAGGTTATAGATAGGATTGGTGCATCATATTTTTCATGTTTAATGGTAAGAGAAGCAAGATTAGTGGACACAGATTTAAGATTTGACAGCAAAGAAATCATCTGCAATTTAGGCAATATTATTTTATTTTTTAAACAGAGTGGCCAGCCTCTGAAATTGTCTTCAGATGTGGTACAAGCAACAGAATTCAGAGTTCAAGAGAGGGCTTGATAAGTACTTTGGGAGTCAGGGCTAGATATAAGCAGATAGGTGTTTGATAAAATGAATGAGAAAGCCATAATGGGCCAAAGTTCCTTTGCCCTTCAATTATTATGTTACTTTTCTAATAGGGTGATTGAATTAATAAATGAGCTGCCACTGGAAATACATGTAGTGGAGACTAGCACTTTACATGTTTAAGATGAGAATTTCTGAATTTGTAAAAATTAAAAGTTTGGTTTAAATTTTTACTTTTTCCAAGAAAATTAGAATAGGTGTGCATGGATAGCCTTGAATAACCAAATGATCCCTTGTTACCTGTGCTTTATGTTATTATCTTTTTGAAAGTCAAAGTAAATAACATCAACAGGGATGTCCTCATCAAAAAGTTGAGGCCCTACCGCAAACTACAACAAATTGATAAAGTATAAAAACTTCTATCTAACACTGTGCTGACAATCATTAATTAAATGCCAGCTTTTTATATACTAAGATACTACGTTCATGTATGATTATGTAAAGAAACTGATAAGTTGTTAGTCATTTTATAAGTAATCTCGTGGTCTGGCAAGGAAATAAAACCTTCATATCTGAAGTTAGACTGTTGAGAGAAATTAGGCTGTTAAAAGCTGTGAAACTGTGATACACAAGGCATTTGATTGTCAAAAGAAATTATTGCAAATACTCAATCTTTATTTGTAATTTAACATTACTTTTAGAGAAGTGCCTAATAGTTTTTTTAACAATCAATTAATACAGTTATTACTGCTATGATTATTATTTTGTATGAGTTTATATTAACAACAAATCTTTCTTTTTTTTTGTAATAGTTGTATTTGAGTTTGTATTCAGAGATTGTGATATTTTTTACAAAGTCTTGGTCAGAAACCAATTACTAATTAATGGTTTTCTGATATTCTTGTAAAACTTGTAATTTATTGATATCGTGGTAGTAACTAGTTGATTGATATGTTTCATCAAAAATATTGTTATGTGACACATTAAAAGTTAGGAACTTTTTAACTTAATAACCCTTCAATATTGTACTTGATGTTGCAAGCTAAGAATTAAAGAAAACAGAAAAACCTTTTTTTTTCAATATTGTTATTTGTATCACAGTAATATTAGCTTAACAATATTTTGTTGTGTTCAATTTGTTTACTTAGATAAAATTCAACATGCTCCATTTTATTATTTTACCAGTAAGTGAATAAATTTTGTAAATTTTAAGTTTTTTAATTTATTAATAAGGTAATTACCTTTTTTATATATTTAAAACAGAAATTTCAATAAACACATTACTAAATGATAAAGAAACTTAAATTTGCTTAAAGGCCCTGCTGTCTAATAGTAATATGAGTGTTAAACTAATATTTATCCAATAATAATAAAAACTTACAGAAAAAAGTAACCCATAATAAATTCGAAATTTGTATATATATATAGCAAAACAGCAGATTCAAAGCTTGAATTAATCATAGTTTAACTATCAACTGTTAGTTTTAGTTACACTGACATCATCAATAACACTAATTTAATAGTAAGATGATTAATTACAGAGCAACTTATACTTCCAAGTTACAGTAACGCTAGGTTTCAAAACTTGAACATTTATCACTGGTCAGAGTGTGGTCTGAATACTGTCATCGATTCCACTTAAATTACATTAAAGACGTTGGTCTCTAGTACTATAACTTGAACTTCAGTACTAAGTAGAAATGTGTCAGTATTTAGTACTAGTAATACTATTAGTATCACTAATAATAAAACTTCAATTTCAATAGTAAATATAAAATTTAAGTATTATTCTCCAGTCTTTCCTGACACCAGATCAACATATGCCACACAAAGTATTAATTACGAATCATTCGCTCTCACCTTTAAATCTTTTTTCTTTGAAACTAGGCCCTATCTTACAAAAACTAATGTTAATAAATATTATTTTCAAGTTTAAATGACCATGCTCACTCTAATAACAACACGAAATATAAATATCAATGCCGATTGCTAAAACCGGGAGTATTGCCCTCTTCCTTTTGTTGAATTTCGAATATCCTAATCATCTCTAAAAAGATGTAGAGGCACCATGTTTATACCATTGATAAAAGTTCATTTAGATAATCAATTTTACATAATACAGTTAAGTAGTTTATAAACATCGCAATATTTCAAAAATTGCATTTATTGAGTATGATGTAAATATATTCTTTCGCACAGACAAATAAATGACAATGTTATGTTGATATGGCTATTTTTGATCAGACATCGTTATCCAAAATATTACTTCCCAGCTATATAATATTCATCCTCGTATAATTAACAGGATGAAATATGTACCAATTTGAAAGTTAAAGGTTTGAATTTCGCGCAAAGCTACATGAGGGCTATCTGCGTTAGCCGTCCCTAATTTAGCAGTGAAAGACTAGAGGGAAGGCAACTAGTCATCATCACCTACCGCCAAAGAATAGTGGGAATGACCGTCACATTATAACGCATCCACAGCTGAAAAAGCGAACATGTTTTGTTGGGAAGGGGTTTCGAACTTGCGACCCTCAGATTGCGAGTCAAGCGCCCTAACAACCTGGCCATGCCGGGCCTTTGAACGTTAAACAAGTGAAAGATTCATATTTCATAGAATAAGTCCAATGAGCTAATATTGAAAAAACAAAAAAAGAAATGGAAATGCGAATAAAAAACTAATAATTCAAAACGAGATTAAAAATTTGAACAGTGAGAATCAAAATGTCAAAACTGTTCGATAAGCTATTACAATAATAAATAAAAACGAGCCATTCATTGTTTTGAGGTTATCCCCTATTCACCGGTGTCTCAGCTTGGGGACTTATAATGCTAAAAAAAATCGAGATTCGATGCTAGGCAGATAACCCATTGTTTAGCTTTGCACTTAAAAACAAATAAACGAACAAGTGACACAAAAAATCAACCAAAAAAAGTTTAAAGTTTTAACTTGTATGATCAGTTTATTTAATAATTTTACTCCAGCCTACACGAGGATTATTTGTGCATAGCCGGTCATAAATTTGAACTGGCAAATAAGATGGAGGGCAGCTAATTAAAATACTCATTGTCGGCTCTTGAGCTACTCTTTGATGAAGTACTGGAATATGACCATTACTCTTATACCACACACCTGGCCCCTTGTTTGAGTTAATAGGATATGAACCATAAACTCTCGAGTTCACACTCCAGGCAGTCCACGCCTAATCCTATTTCTATGAAAGAAAAAAATATACATATGAACGAAAGAAAATTAGAAGCACTCTCATCATCATGAAACAATTATACCAAAAGACAGGATTTCTGAAGTTTCATACTTATTTCCTCTGATGTTGCAGTATATGAATATATCATGCATTTCTATTATTTCATAATGTTATAGTATTTATTTTGAACTTATCTTTTATTCTGTCTACGTGCAGATTTCACATAACACATGGTCGAGAAAGCCATTAACTCGAGTTCATTCTAGTTGCCTTTGTTCCTTTGATGTTTTTTAGTAGATAATGCCTGTTCTTACCAGGAGGTTTTACTGTAATACTGTACGTTGTGCAAGGATCTCAGCAGCTATGTCCTTCAATCATTAAATGGTCGTTCAGGTGATATCTAGAGGTTATGGCCTCACCTATGGTTTAACGAAAATGATCAGTCATGTAGGTATCACAAGTCGTTCTGGGTAAATGCAAACTGACAACAGAAATTCGGTTAAGATACCAGTGACAAAGTAATATTAAATCTTTAAATAATTTAAAAATGATGTTAAATGGAATAATGAGACTCACACTGTCACTTTCACTGGATTTTCTTTTTGTGAGTCTTTTTTTTCTTCAATATCCTGTTCCTTAGGCATACCTATCTCATTGCTTGAATGTTAACTCATTTTTTACATGTATATATACCAAACTAACAAGAAACATGAATTTTTTTTTTGTTTTCCCTCTTTAGATGTAAATTTTCTTATACTTCTTGGTTTACAAAACACAAACCAAACTTACTGTAGATATATCGGGGTAAAGAGGACCATACTATAAATTTTAACTGAATTCTTTTGTGGGGTTAGATGGGAACAAATATGTCTCGTCCTTGGCCCAAAGATTTTGGTGCTTGGCACTGTTGTTGAGGCTCTCTAAAATAGTTTTGATAAAATAATCTTCTGTACTACATGGTATTATAGTACACTGGTTCACTTTATAAGTGGACCATGCATTGCTGAAATCGTTGATGAACATTAAAAATCCCAAAAGGATAGTAGCATGCTGAGTACAACAGCACCTCAGAAGTATAATGTCATCATACTGTTACGTCACTGGTCGTTAGTTAATTACTCGTAAAAATTCTTTCCCGAGAACTTCAGTAATACAAGTTATTTCTTAAATAAAACTAGTTTATTCTTTCTTAATTCAACTTTGCAATACACTTAATTTCCACAGTCCCTTTAACTTAAACACACGCTATAATTCTCAATGAACGATTCACGCACTTTACTTACTACCGCGCTTGACTCAATTGTCCGTCTATGTACTCAGTCTCTTTGTCTTCTATTCACTTGTTGCCGTCACTTTATTTGTCAGCTTATATACTATAAGAGCGCCATTCTAGCAACCGCTAGGACGTTCGACAAGTTCCTCAATCTTTCTAGATACTCATTACGTGTTACCAGCGTAACGTGACCTCCGCTGTCGTAACACTGCCCCTACCTTAGTATTGTTCGTCCCGAACAATAGCCACATAAATTAAACCAATAGATAATTAACAATAACTTAAGTAAATGTACATAATTTACAAATACAAAATTAAAATTCAACAAAGTCTCTTAATTTTACGGGACGTATCTTCTTCCGTACTGGTCTCTGTCTCGTTGGCTTCTGCTTCACGTAAAGTTTATCTGCTCTATCAAGAAATGTCCTATTATAGGTAATAGTCACATTAGTAGTAGTAACTTCATCAAGGGCTTCACTGTTTCCTTCTCAAAACCGAGTAGAGTTTCTTCTTCGACAGTGGCTTTTCCAGGTGACACGTCTTCAGTGGCATCTTTTGTTCCGTTGTTCACTTGGTCCCAACTGAAATGTCCTGGACCGTGATAACGCCAAAGTCTGTTGGCATGCACCACCTTTTGCTTACCTCGCCGACCACATTTTAGTTGGAAAGTCACGTCTGAGAGACGATCCACTATGTCATATGAGCCTTCCCTTGGTGAAGACAACTTAGTAGACTTCCCCTTGGTCTTCCTGGGATTATACAACCACACCTTGTCTCCTGGTACAAAGCTGACTTCAATAGAATTCTTATCATAACACAGCTTCATGGAATCAGCAGACGTTTTCAAGTTTAAACGCACTTCATGATGAATATCATCCATCCTTTCAGATAACACTTTCACGAACTCTGACACATCTTCAGGCAACTCTTCGTAAGGTGTGCGTTTGTTATCAGATCCACTGCCAACCGAAGTTCCCGACCAATCATCAACTTTGCTGTAGTGTATCCAGTGGCTTCATGCTATGCTGTTCTATAGACCATCAACAGTGGAGGGAGTAAGACATCCCAGTCATCTTGACGGCTATTACAAAACTTTGCCAATTCCTGTCCCAGTGTCCAGTTGTACTTTTCTACCATCCCATCAGACTGTGGGTGAAGTGGCGTTGTTCTGGTCTTTCGGATCCCAAATACTTGTAGCATTCTTGGAACACAGCTGATTCAAAGTTACGGCCTTGATCTGAATGCAGTTCGTTTGGCATACCAAATCTGAAGAAGAAATCTCTAATAGCCGAAGCTTCCTGATTTGGTATTGTATATTCCTCAGGCAACTTGGTGAAATAATCCATCACCACACAAATGTACCTGTTTACAGCACGAGTTTGGTGCAAAGGAACAGCAATGTCAACGGCTACTC